TACAGTTCCGTGGTTGTTATTATTTTTACAAGGTTGTGCAACCATCACCACTATCTTATTCCAGAACATTTTCATTACCCCAAAAAGAAACCCCATTAGCTGTCACTCTCTATTCTTCTCCTCTGAGCCCCTGGAAACCAGGAATCTACTTCCTGTCTGCACAGATTTGCCTATTCTGGACGTTTAGTACAAACGGAATAAAACAATATGATGTGGTCTTTTGTGTCTGGCTTCTTTCACCACAGAACCTTTTTTGTGGGTCTGTTTTTTTTGTAGTGGTCATAGCAGCATCGTTTTTTTTTATTGTGGTAAAAAAACATAAAATTTACCATTTTAAACATTTTTAAATGTACAGTTCAATACTGTTAAGTATATTCACGTTGTTCTGAAACAGATCTCCAGAACATTTTCATCTTGCAAAACTGAGACTCTATACCATTTAAACAACAACTTCCCTTTTCCCCCTCCCCTCACCCCCTGGTGACTATCTTTCTACTTTCTGTTTCTATTAATTTGACCACTTTAGATGCCTCATATAAGTGGAATCACACAGTATTTGTCTTTTTCTGTGTTCTTCTAGAAGTTTTACAGTTTTAGCATTTTTCTGTTTAGGTATCTTATCTATTTCAAGTAACTTTTTGTATAAGGTGTGAAGTAAGAGTCAAGGTTAATTTTTCTTCTGCTTAGATACCCATTCATTCCAACACCATTTGTTGAAGAGACTATCTTTTTCTCATTAAGTTGCCTTGTTATCTTTGTTGAAAATCAATTGACCATAGATATTTACGTCTCTCTTTTGCTGGAGTCTATTCCAGTCCATTGATTAATATGTCTATCCTTTTACCAATACCACCCTGTTTTGATTACTAAGATATTACAGTAAATCTTAAAATCAAGTTGTGTAAGTTCTCCAATTGTGTTGTTCTTTTCCAAAATTGTTTCGGCTATTGTATATCTTTGCTCTCTGTGTAAATTTTAGAATTAGCTTATCCATTTTTTACCAAAAAAAAATCCTTCAGGGTGTTAATTGGGATTGCATTGAATCTATGGATCATTTGGGGAAGAATGAACAACTAACAATACATGACTCAGGAACATGGTACTTCTCTCTATTTACCTGTTCTTTAATTTCTCTCAGCAATCTTTTGTAAATCTCAGTATATAACACATCTTGCATATATTTTGTAAAGTTTTTCCCTAATGATTTCATGTTTTATGTTCTATCGTAAATAACATTCTTAAACTTTAAATCCAATTGTTCATTGCTTAGTATATTGAAATACAACTGATTTATGTACACTGACCTTGATAAACTTACTTATTTTTATAGCTTTAGGTTTTTCTACATACACAATATCTGCAAATGAAGACTTTTACTTCTTCCTCTCTAATCTTTTAAAAATTATTTTACTTGCTTTATTGCACTGACTAGAATCTTTAGTGCTATGCTGATAAGGAGTGAGAATGGACATGCATGCATTTTGCCATTTTCAGGGAAAAGCAGTGATTCACCAGTATGTATGTCTACCCTCTTGATACTTTTCTTTTTGTCCTATCTCTTCTTTGTTACTTTATTCCTCATTTCCTAATTAGATTGACTTTTGTAAAAGGATTTTTAGGACTCCATTTTTATTTCCATTCTTGGCTTATTCACTGTAACCCTTTTTTTTTTTCAAGTTTCTCATTGGTAAGGAAGAAATGAGTTTTATTTCATTTATTTATTTTTTAGAAGAGTGGCATTGTTTCACTTTTTTTTTTTTTTGAGGAAGATTGGCCCTGAGCTAACATCTGTTGCCAATCTTCCTCTTTTCTTCTTTTTTCTCCCCAAAGCCCCCAGTACACAGTTGTATATCCTAGTTGTAGGTCCTTCTAGTTCTTCTATACAGGATGCCACCTCAGCATGGCTTGATGAGCAGTGAGTAGGTCCACACCCAGGATCCGAACCAGCAAACCCCGGGCTGCTGAAGCGGGACTTAACCACTCTGCCACCGGGCCAGCGCCTCACTATACCTTTTTGTTTTGTGTGTTTAATGGCTTTTCTAGAGCTTACAATATACATCTTTAATCACCACAGTCTTTTTTCAAATAACATTAAACAATTTCACACAAATTTTAAAAACGTTACGACAATATACTTCTATTCTCTCTTCCTGTCCTTTTTATTGTTGTTATCATGCATTTTTCTTTTTACCACGTTATAAACAGAATACATTGCTATTATTTTTTTCTTAAATAATTGATGTCTTTTAAATAAATTTTTAAATGTGTCTCATATTTAGCTAAATATTTTGCATTTCCAGCACTGTTCATTCCTTTGTGTAGATCCAAGTTTCCATCTGGTGTCATCTTCCTTTCATTTAGGAACTTCCTTTAAAGATTTTATTTATTTATTTATTTTCCCCCCAAAGCCCCAGTAGATAGTTGTATGTCATAGCTGCACATCCTTCTAGTTGCTGTATGCAGGACGCGGCCTCAGCATGGCCGGAGAAGCGGTGCGTCGGTGCGCGCCCGGGATCCGAACCCGGGCCGCCAGCAGCGGAGCGCGCGCACTTAACTGCTAAGCCACGGGGCCGGCCCATGGAACTTCCTTTAACATTTTTTGTAATGCAGACCTGCCAGCAATGAATTCTCTCAACTTTTATTTGTCTGAAAGTCTTTATTTCACCTTTAGTTATGAAACGTATATTTACATGAATATATAAAATATATTCAGTCACAAAAGAATATTTGAATGTAGAATTTTAGTTTGACAGTTTTTTTCTTGCAACACTTTAATGATGTAATTTCTTGTCCTCTTGATTTTATACTTTCTGATGGCTTTTCCGCATTCATTTTTATCTTTTTTTCACTGTAACGTGTCTTATTCTTTCTCAGACTGCTTTTAAGATTTTCTCCTTTTCACTATTTTTCAGGAATTTTATTATCATAGGTCTTCTTTCAGTTTTCTGTTTATCCTGTTTGGGGTTTGTTAAGCTTCTTGGAACTGGGGATTTACAGTTTTTATCAAATTAGGAAAAATTTAGGCCAATATTTTCTTCAAATACTCCCCTCTCCCCCCCTCTTTTTCTAGGACTGCAGTTGCACTTATTTTATTATATTATTATTATTTTTTTTGGTGAGAAAGGTTGGCCCTGAGCTAACATCTGTGCCCATATTCCTCTATTTTGTGTGTGGGGCGCCACCACAGCATGGCTTGATGGGTGGTGGGTAGGTCCATGCCCAGGATCTGAACCCATAAACCCTGGGCCGCCAAAGCAGAGTGCGTTAACTTAACCGTTATGCCACCAGGCCAGCCCCTCAGTTATTTCATATTTTATTTCAAGAGGTTCTGTTTAGTTTTTTTAAATCTTCATGGTCAATTTATAGTTTCTTGTTCCCTGCAAATATTTCCAAGCTTGTCTTTTATTATTTAAGCCTAGTAAACACAGTTGTATTATAATCTTCAATAATTCTAATATTTGGAAGTAACTTTAGGTCTATTTTTACTGTGTTGTTTCTGATGGTTATTGCTCATGGTGTCTTGCTTTTGTGTGCTTGGTAGTCTCTGTGTCCTATTTATTTATTTGACTATTATTTGTGGAATTCTTTAAGGCCTAAGATGAAGGTGTATTCATCCAGATAGGACTTTTATTTCTACCCGATGCATAGGGACATTAGAAAGAGACTTCTTCAAACTCAGAAAAAAGAAAGAAAGAAAAAGGAAACTCGGTTCTTGGCTTAAGCTTTTGAGACAACCAGGCTCAAAACTTTGGGCTGCAAATCCAAACTTGTGCTGGCTTGTGATTATAACATGTCAGGAACTTTAAAATTTTCCCGTTGTTTTTCTCGTTTCTGAAGCAGCTTTCCTCACCGTCCCTGTTGTGTGGAAGGGCTGCGTGCTGCTTCTGGTTCGTTTTTGTACTGAAGGTGTAGCCCTTTGAAGTGCCAGATGTAGGGAAAAACCTTCTCTTCTGATCCTTACTTTGGTCAGACTCTGATGCTTTATATCTGATCCCCACGCTCCTTTTATTTCTTAAAGGTCATGAAATTGGACACTGCGAGTACAGTGTTGTGTTTGACGTATGCCTTCAGGGCAGGGCTGCTTTGGACGGCCCCTTCCCCCTGGTTTTGTCTGTACTTCAGTTTTGTCTAATAATTGCTTATTATCTTGTCAACATTTTCACTCTTTTAAGATTAGCAAATATCTGCCAGACTTTTAAATTATTTCCAGTGAGAAGGTTGGTCTACATATTTAACTTGCCTATTACCAGAAGAATAGTATTTTATTTTCTAAAATGTGATCAAATTATACTTCTTTTCCTGCAGCTTGCATTTTGCTCTAATAAGTAAGATTTGGCAGGCCTCCCATTGCAGTTCTTATAGAGCAGTGAGCTGAATTTTTAAGGATTTGTGGAAGTTATCCAAGTGAAGAATGGTGGCGGGGGTGGGGTTGGTCTTGGGCATGAGAGGGTGTGGCAGGTCTTGAAACTGTAAGGAGTTAAGTCTGACCAGAGTATGAAATACACAGAAGGTCGTGGGGGGAGCATAAGGCTAGAGAGGTCAACAGGGCTCAGATCAAAAAGTCGAAGAAGCAATTTCTCTCTCATAGCACAACTCCATGGAAGCATTATGCATATAGTAATCTAAGTAAACGGTGTTCATTGACGTTGTGTAATGCAAAGCATAGAAGGTTGACTTTTACCCACTTGTCTAAGGAGGGAGGAAGGGAAGAAGTAGGGGGTGAATAAGAGACTCTATCACTGGAGCAGGGACCCCAGAGTCCCCAAGAAGACTATAGAATAGGCTTCTCCTGGCCCCCCCCCATTGTCATAAATTCTCTAGGCTCACACAAATTCATGTCCCTGAAGGTGGGTGCCTTCTAGGTTTCATCCCAGGGTCTACCTTACCCAGATCAGTAATGCTAAGCTATTGATGTCCCTTCTTATCTGGAAGATAAGGGAAAAGGAGGTGGTCTTCTAAGGAGCCAAATGATTCTATGTGATTCAACTCTTTATCCCCAGGAATGCTGAAACACTTATGAAGCTGGTAACCCTGGGGAAACTGCCTCCTGAGGCCCAGCCCCCTCCAAATCTGCTTGATAACCCGACCTCCATCTTCACCTCCTGGCTCAACAGCCTTCCCCAGCCCATCAAGAGCATGGTCCTCAGCCACGTGCCTGAGTGCAACTTAGAGAAGCAGTTTTTGAAGGTCAGTAAAATAGATGAGTGAGGCCTAGAGTTCCTCAAAGCCTTCTGTAAAACAGAAATTTCAGCATTTATTAGCACCAGGAAAAAAAACCCCAGAAGCACCAGGATAACCCACAGCCCTGGTAACGCAAAGAACTATAGCTTGCAGAATACCCTCCCATGGATAATGCTAGGTGGATTGGTTTTCCGTGTCAGAGGGTCAGCTTAGAGATCTGATTTGCTCAGTGACCCAGGGCTTTTAGGGAGTTTTACAGGGAAGGTAGAATGTATTTTTTTCTGTATTTTGTTGTTGTTGTTATGTTCAAGGACACTTGAACTCCTGCCCTTTCTCCTCTTAACAGGTTAAGGAGGCCCCAGGCTTTGCATTCTTGGCCTTCATTGAAAGCATGTCCTTCATTCCTGGGTCTGTCTTCTGGTCTATCCTCTCCTTCCTGATGTTGCTGACCATTGGGCTGAGCACCATGATAGGGATCATGCAGGGTATCATTACCCCTCTCCAGGACACCTTTTCTTGTTTCAGGAAATATACAAAGCTGCTTACAGGTACCCTGACCTATGGCTCTACTCCCACCAATGACCCTGACTTCACTGAGACTCTTATCCAGCCCTGGTCTATGACCTCTGCTTAGCCCTTGTCACCCAGCCAGACCTCTGACCTTGATCCAGATCCAATGTTTCCTCCAGTGATTGTCTTTGTGCTCATGTTCCTGTGCGGCCTCTTCTTCATTCGACCTCCAGGCATCTACTGCTTCACACTGCTGGTTCAATACTGGACAGTCCTCCCCATCATCATCATCGTCATATTTGAAAACATGGCTGTGGCCTGGGCCTATGGGGCCAGGAGGTGATAGCTTTGGTCTATAGGGAAGGTTAACCCCTTTTTTGTGGCCTCTATTCTCACCCAGCTAGAGTGACATAGGGACCCTTAACTTCAGGGCCTTCTGAGAAACTTTCTTATTTATTCATTCATTTAGCATATTTATTGTGTTTAATATGTGCGAGGCACTGTTTTAGTCACCAGGGATACAGCATTGAATAAAACAAGCATCCCCATCCTCAGGGAGTCTACATTCTAGTGGTGGAGATAGACAATAACCAAATGAACAAATAAAAGTTTCAGGTGGTGATAACTGACCAGAGAAAATCATAGGGTGAGTAAGATGATCAAAGGTGGAGTGGTGCTAATTTAGATGGGATTGCAGGCAAGGCCTCTCCGATAAGGGGACATCTGAGCAGACTCCTGAATAAAATGAGGGAAGGAGCCTTGACAAGATTTTGAGAAAGACTATTCCAAGCAGAGGAACTGGCAGCAAGGCAAGAGGAAACATCGTGCATGGAGTTTTTGAGCAACAAGGAGATCAAAGAGGTTGAAATAGAATGTTAGGAGATGAGGCCAGCGAGGTAACGGGAGATCATGTAGGGTCTTCTAAGTCATGGGAGGACTTAGCTTTTTATGCAGAATGAGAGAGGACGCATTGGAGGGTTTTGAGTAGGAGAGTGACATTATCAGACTTATTTTTTTAAAAGATACTTATGACAGCTGTGTGGAGAATAGACTACGAGGAGTCAAGAGTGAAGCAAGGAGAACAGTTGGGAGCTATTGTAATATGCCAAATGAGAGCTAACAATGGCTTGGGCTAGGGTGGTAGAGGTGTAGGTTGAGATGTGTTGTCTAATTCTGCAAGGAAGAGCTACCAGGGAAGAGGGAACAAGATAATCAGAGGCTGGCAGCTAGTAGACATAACTGGAAGGAGGAGAGGGAGAATCTAAGTCAACTACAAGGGACTCCTGAGCCCGACTGTTTAACAGGCTGGTGTGTGGACATCCAATGGTATAATTCAAGGGCAGAAGGCTCAGGTGGCAGCATTTTCACGTGATAGTGGTTCTTGGGGTCAGTTCATTCATTTATTAACTCACTCAACAAACATTTCTTGAGACTTTCTCTGTGTCAGGAAAGCCTTGTGGTACTGGGATAGAAATGAATTAGAATGTGCTCCTCCTTTCAAAGTGCACAAAGTCCAAAGAGAAAGACATATAGAAGCAGACAATCCCAGTAGAAGGGGGTAAGTCTATAGCAGAGGTAGCCAGGGGCCCTCTAGGGGCACCTAGAGAGTCAGAGAAGGCATCCTAGAGGAAAGGATGGTTGAGCAGAGTTGGGGCAGAGGAACAGGTAGACAAAGAGAAAGAGAGAATGGCATTCTAGGCCAAAGGACCCCACGTGTATATTTATTGAGATTGAGAACATGCAGTAAAGGCGGCTGGATATATGGGCTGCAAGAAACTAAGAAAAGTTCCCTGAGGATCAAGTGTTACCTTTTTTTTGGTCTGTGTTGTTCACTATGGATACCCAGCACCTAGAGGAGTCCCCGGCACATCATAGACATTCTCATATTCATGGAATGAATGAAAAGAACTTGGCCTTTATCCTGAGGGCACCGGGTACCCATGCAAGGTTTTTGAGCAGTAGAGGAACGTTTGAAAATTTTTCTTGGGTTGGGATGGAAGACTGACTAGGGAGAAGATAAGAGAGGATGAGGCTTGAGCTGAGGCAGGGTGGAGGTGAAGTAGAATATTTGAAAGATGCTAAAGTCAGGTTGGCCTCACCCCCCAAGACTGGGTAAGGCCTGACTGGGCCTTCCACAGTCTTGTGGCCCTTCCTCCCAGTTTCCTTGCAGACTTGGCGACCCTGTGGGACCACCCCATCTCCCCCATCATTCGATGGCTGTGGTGCTGTCTGTCTCCAGTTATACTGCTAGTCCTGTTGGTGACCACTGTGATTCATCTATCTCTGAAGACTGTCACCTACGTGGCCTGGAACTCAAGCACTGTGAGCCTTCCTCCCCAGACCCCAGACCTTCTTAGGGAGTGGGGGCCAGATCTTTCAATCCACTCTTGGCCTAAAGACCCTATCATCCCATTCTCTGACTCCCTGAGGTTATTCTCTGCCCTGGTTCCCCTCCCACCCTTCTCTTCCATATCCTCCCTCTCTTGGGAACTCTGATGTTCTGAACCGTTTTCCCATCTCTCCACAGTCAAAAGAGGTGCTTCGACAATACCCATCATGGGTGCTGCTCGCGATGATTGCCCTTTTTATCATCGTTATCCTCCCCATCCCCACATACTTTGTATACTGCCTCACCCATAGGATTCCCTTCAAAGCCATGAGCTGGGCCAGGCCTTTGATATCCTCCAAATCCCTACCCCTAAGTATCCAACTAACTCCCCATTAAAGAGGTCTAAAAGGAGGAACTCCTACAGGGTGATAATCAAATTGCTGATCAACCTGTTGTGTGACATCCTAACTTCATTCGTTTGGCCTGACATTGTACACGTCCCTCAAAACAGCTCTAACAGGCAACTCTTAATACCAACTTGCAACTGTTGATGTCCCTGGACCCAGAACTGCTTTTATTCCCAAGGATAGGGGCATTATTTGGGGAGGCTCATGGGGCCTGGCTTTGCAGCCCCTCCTCCCACACCCCATCCTTGCTGGTTACCACTGTCGTTGTGTTTTCCCCATCTCCTTCCTACACTTGCCCATCATCATATACACCATTGATTATGCCTACCGAACCTAATTCTTGACTGGTCTGCCCAGCTCCTGGAATAGAGCTGGAGGAGTAATGCTGTTGGTCAATAAATCAGTCCACTGGGACTCTAAGCACTGGGTGTGAGCAGATCTTTTTTTTCTCTAAATGTCTCAGATGTTTAGTCTTCCTCAGGAGGCTTCCATTCTTTTGAGAGCCAAATGTCCAGCCCTGAGTTCCTGCCCTCTCCTTGTCATGGCAAATTCAGATGCTAGATTATTAGACTTACTTTATCCATGGACTGGCCTTTAGCCAAGAGAAACCTAGGAAATGGTGGCTTCAACAAAGATGGAAAGAATATTAATGTGCTTGCTAATGGGACATGGTAATCCTGCATGGGTCTAAAAATTATTTTTAAAAAGAGGTTCCAAGACTGTTAGGGACTAAGTGTATCTGTGAATCGACTCACAGTTTAGGAAACTACCGAATTGTATTGCTGAGCCCCCTAGTCCCGTATCTGCTTGGTAAGAGACATCGCAGGTTTGACCACAGGGCTAAATCAAATGAATTTGCCCATCAGATGGTAACTGAGTGGGTCTCTGGGAACTTGTGGGAGGGATGTCTCCACAACTGAGCTGAAGTACTTCCCAAAAGGAGATGGGGGTCAGTCAGTTAGCGACTGAGGATGGAGGCTGCGGGTAGAGGTGATTGGGATTCTCGAAGATCCAGGGAATGGGTTTTCCTTAAATGCTCAGAGATCCCAGGATTTTGGATTGCTTACGGCCCACAGGGAGGCTGCCCCTGCGTAAGTTTCTGTGACAAAGGAAGAAAAAGCAGACATCCCCGATCACTGGCAGGTGGGACTCTGGGGGGTGGGTTTGGTGAATGGAGAGCGCAGTTCCCAGATGTCTCCAGACCTCTGAAGTTTCACGCTCCGCAAGCTGGAAGATGGGAGGGCTGGAGAGGACGTGAACCTGCATGTCATCACCCATTGGCTCCTGTACCTTGTAGCCCCGCCCCCTCACGCTCCTTCCGCCTCCGCCACCTCCACCCCTACAATCCAAACGATCGGTCTGCTCGAAGACCCGTGCTATTGAGTCGGGTAAGGTGGGAATCGGAGAGGAGACAGTCACCTTCTCCTCCTGATCAAATAGTCTGTTTTCAGCCTCCTTCCTTTTGGAAACCCAGGTGCTCATCCTCCTCTCTGCTTCCCCCAGTCCAGTTCCAGCTTTGGGATGGAACCCGTGGGAGGGGGATTGAAAAGTAGGGCTTACCGGATAAACTGATGGGAGTGGAACGAAGATCTTGGTGTGTCTCCTTTTCCCACCCTAAATTTTTTTCTGCTCAGGCCACTTGTTGACTGTCCCTTGGCACCTAACGGCAAGGTTGTTTGAAGTGGGAATATCTCACAGTGCTGATCAGAGATAGGAGCACTGACTTCTATCGTAGGTGCTTCTCGAGGTAGCTCTAGAGGTCCTTATTGTCGACAGTCGTGTTTCGTACCACCCATGTGTGTGATGCGGGGGTGTTCTTGTGGACTGCTGTTGATCTCTGGCCTTGTTAGACAACATGGAGCCCCAGCCCTTGGGAGGGTACCTTACACATGTCTTCACTTTTATTCCTCACGAGATTGGTATGAGATATAGGTATTGTCATCCTCAATTTTCATCAGAAGACCTGAAAGAAAGGGGTTCACACAGTGAGTCAGGGGTAGAGCTTGACCAAGATTCTTGTCCTGTGGCTCCTGGCCGTTTTATTTTGGAAATTTTCGAACACATACAAAAAAGTAACATAATGAATTACTTTGTACTCATCACCCATCTTCAATAATGACCAGCTCCTGACCAATCTGGTTTCATCTCTCCTTCCCCCGCTGTATGCCTCCCCATTATTTTGAAGCAAATTCCCATTTATCATTTCATCTGCAGATATGTCAATACATAGCTCTAAAAAACAAGAACCTCTTAAAAAACTTGACAAAACTACTATCACACCTAAAACACATAACAGTAGTCCTTTAATATCATCAAATATCCAATCAGTATTCAGATTTTCCCAGCTGTCTCATAAATTTTCTTGTGGTAGCTTTATCTTTTTTGGCAGCTTTATTCAGATATAATTCACATGCCATACAATTCACCCATTTAAAGTGTACAATTCAGTGGCTTTTAGTATATTCACAAAGTTGTGCAACCATTACCACAGTCAATTTTAGTTCATTTTCCTCACTCCCAAAAGAAACCCCACACCCCCTAGCCATCACCCCAACTGCCCCAGCCCCCAACCCCAGCCTTAGACAACCACTAATCTACTTCTTGTTCTGTAGATTTGCCTATTCTGGATATTTTGTATAAATGGAATCAGACTATATGACTAGTCCTTTGTGACTGACTTCTTTCACATAGTGTGTTTTTAAGATTCATCCATGTGTGGCATGTATCAGTTTTTCATTTCTTTTTATTGCTGAATAATATTCCATTGTATGGATATACCACATTTTTTTTATCTAATTATCAGTTGATGGTCATTTTGGGTTGTTTCCACTTTGGGGCTTTTATGAATAATACTGTTACGAACATTCATGTAAAAGATTTTTGGCGAATGTATGTGTTTATTTCTCTTGACATAAACTTAGAAGTGGAATTGCTGGATCATATGCTATCTCTATGTCTAACTTTGAGAGACTGTCTCAATTTTTTAAAGTTTGTTTGACTCATCATCCAAATAAAATTCATATGTTGCAATTCGTTGCTATATTTCTTAAGAATCTTTTAATCTATGGGGCTCCCTCCCTCTTTTATTCCCTTGCAATGTATTTGTTGATAAAACTGGGTTATTTGTCCTGTGGAATTTCCAGCCGTCTGGAATTTGCTGATTGCCTCCCTGTAGTGTCATTTAATATATTCTTCTGTCCTCTATATTTCTGATAAATTGGTAGTTAGGTTGAGAAGTTGATTAGTTGAAAGTTCAATATTCTGGCAAGAATATTTCATGAATTGTTTTATGTACTTCTTTGAGGAGGCACAAAGTGTCTGGGTGTATCTTTGATATCTTGGCAGCTGTTGATGATCATTGTGTACATTGACACATTCATTAGAGATTATATAATGGTGGTATTCTAAGTTTATCATTCCTTATTTTTTTAACTAGCTGGAATACTCCCAGAAAGATAAAATTCTCCTTATCAAACATTTGTTACCCTAGCATACAGTTTATACAGGAAAAGCAGAATAAATTTTGATCTTTCCCTTTATTTACCAGCTTAAAAAATGAGGTTGTTGCCTAATATCCTCCAAATGTGATCATTGAGATTTTCTCTTTTTAGTATCTCTCTGACCTCATCGATTTAAACATATTTGATGTGTTTTGGTCCATTGCAGCTATTCTTATCGATGCTCAAATCATCTCATCTTTGGCTTGTGGGAGCATCTTCAAGTTGACTCCTGAGTGCTTTCAACAAGACCCCAGTAGGATTTAATAATTTCCTTGCTTTCTGGTATGACTGTGTGGTCCACGATTAACTTGGACATTTCATCCTCCAGATCTGAAATCAGCTATTTTTCCAAGGATACCTAGTTGTTTTTAGTGGGAAATAGTATTTAGAGATCACACTTTTGTGCTAGGGGTATTCCTTGCTGCTGCATTTGTCATTGTTTCTAGGCCTTTTCAATAGATACAGCTAGGAAATACGTTTTTTTCTAAGATAAAAATACATTGTAAGTTCATACTCATTTTTTCAATTCAAATTCAGGACTGTAGGGTTTTAACTTTATCTCTCTCTCTCTTTTTTTTTTTTTTTTTTTTT